GACTCCACCACTTTTCCTGGGCAGCCTGATCCGATCCCTGACCACCCTTTTGGTGAATTAACTTTTCCTGGTATCAAACCTAAACCTGCCCTGGCCTTGCTCTTATAAATCCTTTAGCAAGGCAGCCTCAGCCATTTCTTTCTCTTTCTGTGTAAAATTTAAAACACACAGAGTTTTTACACAACCTTGCCCCTAGTGACTGCTGCTTCTGAAGAGCTCAAATATTGCAACCCCAGGAACAGCTTGTCCTCCATCACCTGCCGGCCCTTTGCTTTTTATCCTTAAACTGCTCTTGTTTCCACATGGTTCCTCTTCCACAATTAAATACTTATGAAGTCGTGGGATTTTTTGTTTGCTTTGGGTTTCGGTTGTTTTATTTTTCCTGGTTTCTCCCCCTCTTTGCTCTTCTTCTTTTCCCGCCCAGCAGGACTGCAGATCCAAGCCCAGTTTGGTCACTGGCACAGAGCAGCTCTCCACTAAGACCACACATGGTCCTGTGCATCGGCCAGGACCAAGCCTGGGTTCCTTCTGAGGGATGTCCTGTCCAGCTGCTCCCTGAAACAGCTGATTATACATCAAAAAGAGAAGCTCCAAAACCGACCTTTACCCACAACAAACCTGAGGCCTCCTGTCAGGACAACCTACCTGCTCACCTGATATCTGACTATCTCCCTGCTCAATACCACCCTCTCCTCATGCCCATGGTATCAATATCATGGATTGGGGGCCAGCTGGATTCTCCGAGGGCAAGGGGCTTGAAGAACCAAGAATTGCCCTCAGCAGCACTGGCCCAAGGCTGCCTGGCCAGAGGTGGGACACAGAGGGCCTGGGCAGGAGGCCAAGCACTCCGAGGGCCAGGTGAGCTTGGAAACAGCTTTTACATGTTGGCTGCAGCACTGGATTTGCTAAAACTTCCTAAGCTAAAAAAAACCCTGGAATAAAGTAAACTAAAGTCATCTTTAATCACAATGGGGTTGGATCAAGGGCTGGTCTTGATCTCGGAGGTCTCTGCCAACCCAGTTAATTCTATGAATCTATGATCTCGTTTAAGAAATCAAGGTGGAAGCTGAGACAATGGATGAGCCTGAGCTGCAGAAGGGGCTGGGGGGCAGGAGGGACGAAGAGGAGGAGATGGGGTTGGCGCATCCAGCCTCTCCCACTCTAGGAATGCACAGAAGCCAGATGTTGTTTTGTGTAACTCTGCCTAATTCTTGGGTTTCTTAGTGGAAAAATGTTCTTGTTGGAAGCTTTTGCAAAGCCACCACTTCTGGCTGCAGGACACCAAGATAAACCATTGTGAGAATATGTCAAGGTCTGCCAAGTCCTGAATCAACACTCAGCCCCAATCAAGCCAATAAATGACCCAAACCCCCCACCAAATCTTACAGTCAAACCTTGCCTCCTGCTACAGAGCTGCTGCACAGCAGCACAGCCTCTTCTCAGCAGCACTTAGATGTTGCTCCAAGGCTCAAGGTCAGGACAGGCCCAGGAACTCCCTACAGGAATGAGATGAACCACCAGGAACAAAGCATGTTCCCTTCTACCCCAAAATCCTCCCTCCCTGCAATGCCATTGCCATCTGATGTCTGCAAGGTGCACCCCAGAGCAATGACAGGTTCTCTTTAACTGGGAGGGAGCAGCAATTACCAGGAGCATCACCGGGTGGGACACATGAATGGCTGCAGGAATGTCCTTACCTGTTTGGAAGGACCTGGATGTGCCAGGGTGTGAGCTCCTGACTCCCCCCAGCAGAGCAGCTCTGCAGATTCCAGTTTCTAGGCTGGCTCCTTACTGGGCACTCCATGGTCCTGGTGGAGCTATTTGGATCCCCCACACCAGTTCTGAGAGCCATTTTTATTTTAAACAGGTTTCTTTAATTTCTTCCAGTGGCTTTTCACTAAAATTCCCATGCTGAGATCAAAGGCAATGGCTGGATTCACCTGGCATCCTTGGATAACAATCTGCCAGCACCAACAGGAGTGCACCTGACAGACAAGGATTTCTTGAAGAATCAAAATCTGTGGTTCAGAGATCATCTGGACTACAGGCCACATATTGTGCTGAAAAAACACACCTGGTGTGAGGTACAAACACACTAAGAGCTGTTTCCCAAGGGCTCTGTGAACACCCTTCACGTGTCAGGTGAGGGCTTTAGCCGTGGCACTTGGACTGATGTGTGGAGTGTGTATCTGATGTTTTCCAAGAGAAATACTTGGGAGCTGGCACCATGGAGCTTTGGGACTGACCTGCAGAAGGTGGACAGATCCCCCTGGCCCCAAGTGCACAGATCTACCTGCGAGGAATGTACTCACCCAGCATGAGCTTGGTACACTCCTACCACTCCTGTCACAGAGGACTACTGCTCCTCATTCTTTTTATTCTTTCATTTCTTCAAAATGATTCATATCCATCAGCTACCACAAAAATGCCCTCACAGGTATTCCACTCTTTTGGCAGTACTTCCAACTCGCTTCCGAAAGCACACGCTGACATTGCCATGCACATAGTTTGGAGCACAACACACACGTGTCTTTCCAGGCAAAATAGCTGAAGGCCTTCTCAGATCCCAGCACAAAGGTTGTTGAACCCTCTGGGGTGGGCTGATAATTCCGAGTGCCAAACTCCAGGGGAAAAAAATAACTCAATAAAACAAGATCACCTGCAGAGGAAACGAACGGAACCATCTTCATTCACACCTTCTTTTTCCATGTCATCCTTTGCTGAAAACCTGGTGACAGTCACAGTGGGAAGCAAAAGACAACCTGAACGTGAGGCTGGCCAAGACAAGCACTTTGATTCTCCAAGGTGTCCCTTGAGTTCCACAGAAATACCCTGGGGCAGCCCTTCATATCCCTGATTTAGCACCTCCGCAGCTCTCAACCCATCACTGATGAACCACTGCTGGCTCTCAGCTTTCTCCTCTCTGCATGATTTGATCCTCCTCTTTACTTCATAGACCTTCTCCATCTGAAGTCTTCCCAACAACTCTGACCTCTGCCCTCAAAGGGAATCCCATCCTACCTTGCCCTTCAGGGGTCTTCCCAGATAAGCCACCCAACTGAATGCTCAACACCTCTTGCCTTTTACCTTTTTTTTGCCTAGTTTTTACCTCTGGTATCACCCTCCAGAGGAAAAAATCCTGGAAACCACAATCTTCCCCATTTCTTCTTTCCTATTACCACAGCTTTCTGTTCTTTCATCTCCCTGACTCACCTACCAGCCACGCTCCATCCAGTTCTCCCCAGGGTCACACTGAAACTTTTCTGTGTACTTTAAGACTAGAAGTCACTGATGATGTTCTCCTTCCAGGAAGTCTGCCTTTCCAATCTTCTACACCCAAGTGACCTGCTCCTCAAGAGCTTCCCTAGAAGGCCATGGAGCTAAGATACAGCCTATGCAGCACTGCAAACACCAGCATGAAAGCTATTTGCAATCTCAGGTACAATAAATTCCTGCAAGGAATCTACTTGGGGTAGCTCTGCTATCAGCAGAATGCCTGCCACAGAATCACGGAATCATTAAAGGTTGGAAAAGACCTCCAAGATCATCAAGTCCAACCTTTAAACAAACGCCACTAAAACAGAGCACTAAAGGCCACGTCTACTTGTTTATTAACACTTCTGGGGGTGGTGACTCCACCACTGCCCTAGGCAGCCTAACACCTGCAAGTAAAGCCTGTTTGAAGGAAAGTAAAATTTCCAAAATGAACAGTTGTATCTGTACCTCAACTCACACTAAAGCACTTCCTGGTCTCTGCTGGTGGGAGTAGATGAGGAGCAGCCTAGGGAAGGGAAAGCTGACGCAGTTTCCCATTCCCACAGCTCGGGCTGACCGAGCAGAGCAGGTTAAGGTGCAGCACATCCCTAAACCTCCTCCAGACCACAGTGGTCAGGTGTCACTTCTGACACCTGTGGAATGTGAGCAGATCTTGCCAGATACACACCTTGGATGCATGTGACTCCACCCCGCAGAGTACATACAATGGACGTATCATTTTCACCCCAGGCTGTTTGCCAACCCCACTAACTCTCAGAGTAGCACATCCCACCCGGATGTCAGTAACTCTCCCACTGCCAGCTTCAACAACCACATCACTGTCAACAAAGTCCTGCCACTGGGCAGTTCCCTGGCTCAGAAAAGGAAGAGACCATAGAGACCCACTCAGCCAAAGCCGTGCTGCTTCCCCACAACTCTAAACCAAACAAACCCAGTTTTAGATCAGTCAGGCAAGCACAGCCCATCACAATATGCCCAAACATGATCCAGCAGGAAAATTTCCTTTCAGGATAAAGCAAGGCTTGGTTGACTGGCCACAGGCAACTGACACTGAAGGGCAGATGGGAAAGCCGCAGTGTCTTGAGGGACAAAGAGTACCCAAAGCTCTGCCCCACGTGACACTGATTAGGGAGGATTAATTGTCTTCTGCAAGGTTCAGAACTCTGGAAAGAAAAGCTGCACATCTGTGTGACACAGGCAAATCCAGCTGCTCCCACTGGCACAACAGCCTCCTGGAACACTCCAATGGCTCCAGAGCCTGTCAGGGTAATGCTCCCACGGTTGCAGTTGCACAGACACTCGAGGCTGTGGGTGCTCAACTCTGCAGAGGGGGAGAGACAAGAGGCAATTCTCTATGTCCCACGTTGTGCTGAAGCCTTGTGGTGCCACCAGGTAGAGGATGGAACCTACAGCTGACCAGGAGAGCTGGGAGCTGTTCTGCAAATATGTTCTGTTATATGTAGGATATGAAAGCTCCTGAGGCTGAACACAGCACACATTTTCCCGAAAAACCATGTTCAGTCCTCTTCAGCAGTGTTCAACTCCAAACAAGCTGGGGTGGAACCCTTCCTTGGGTTAAGGAAGGCAGCAGGACAATACCTGAGGTCCCAGTTCCATAGGGAGGGAGGCAGGTAATCCACCTTCCCTTCCTGCCAACTCCAGCCCAACTTCCACCACGTTCCACATGCAGGGCAAGGTGAGGGACCAAGCTTTCACGTTAGGTGTAATAGAAAAACATTCTTTACTCTGCAAGTTGTCTTTACAAATATATATTTATATATTTAAGCCCATTTCAGGCTATAGAAGCCCATAAAAAAACAACCAGTACCTTTTTGAACGAGAGAAACTGCGAGGCAGAAGTCTGAGGGGACAGACTCCCACCCAAGGGCTGCTCTGGCACTTCTCTGAAGGCCTTTAGTTAGCACATAAAACCATCTCCAAAATCCTGTGATCTGAAACGAGGGGACACCATTCTTACCCCACCTTCACTACTCTCTGTATGAGGTAAACTGGAATCACTTTTACATCATCACTTTAAAAAGGAGATGTTGTATCCTGAAGACCAGCTTTTCCAAGGAACATTTGTGAATGGGTTAAACAGGTTTAAGATGCCGCGTGTGGATCCAACCACAATGTGCTGTTGTCTCAAAATAGAAGTTGATACTAAAAAGCTATTCCAGATACATACAAGCACAAACACTAGAGCTGGTCAGAAAGATTCAGTTTCAACTTTTTTTTTTTTTTTTTTTTAAAAAGCAGGGAAAATTTTCTGCAGTGTAGCTTTCCATTTCCCCTCTCCTCACTTTTCTACCAGTCCTATAAACCCTTCTGAAAAAAATCACATTGTCTGCTGTCAAGAGTGCAAAGTCCATCCAAATCTCATGTTTCACTTCACCAGCACTACACTTTACAAATCCTGATGGCAAACCAAAAGGTCTCGATTTAACTTAGCAAAAGTGATACCTAGAAAACATTCAACACCAAGAGGTCTTATAAAAAAAAAACAAACTTGAGACTACTAAGGCAATCTAAGGCACAGTGTTTTGGAAGAAGTGCTTTCTCCCTTTGGTGTTGCTTTATACACATCACGTGTGCGAGTTCGAGGGATGTAGGGAGCTGCAGATGGATGCCATGCCTTCTCCCAAGCAGGGAATTCCATCTTCTGCTGCAGTTTCAGACATAGGCTCCCAATGCTGCGTGAAATTCAGTTAGACATTGCACCAGCTGCTGAAACTTGGGTCTTTCTTCGGGATCTAGGGCCCAACAGCAGGCCATCACTGCAAATCTGCAAGACAGAGGCACATGGAGACAGGAGGAGAACGTCAGCCAGGTGACCACAGCCCAGTCAGAAGGGGAAAACCAGCCTTTGCCACTGGGACACCTGCTGATCAACCAGAGAGAGACCAGGATCTTATAGTACATGATGCTGAACAGCTCCTTCAGAGGACAGACACCTGGAATGATCAACATATGGGCTGGGACTAGAGGTGCTGGTTTGATTTAGGATACGAGCCTGAGGCAATTCAGGAGGGAGCAATACATGGGCATTAGAAATTGCTCAACAGCTTAGAAGCATGGAATTATGGAACACTTTGGGTTGGAAGGGACACTAAAGACCATCCAGTCCCACCCCCTGCCATGGGCAGGGACACCCTCCACTAGCCCAGGTTGCTCCAAGCCCCGTCCATCCTGGCCTTGGACACTTCCAGGGATGGGGCAGCCACAGCTTCTCTGGGCAACCTGTGCCAGGGCTTCCCCACCCTCAAAGGGAAGGATTTCTTCCCAATATCCCACCAAACCCTGCCCCTGTTAGTTTGAAGCTACTCCCCTTTGTCTTGTTCCTGCAGGCCCTTGTCCCAAGTCCCTCTCCAGCTCTCCTGGAGCTTCTTTAGGCACTGGAAGGGGGTCTCAGATCTCCCCGGAGCCTTCTCTCGTCCAGGTGAATACCCCCAGCTCTCCCACCCTGTCTCCAGAGTAGCAATTGGAGCACCTCTGTGGCCTCCTCTGTACTCACTGCAGCAGCTCCATGGTCACCTTCTGTTGGAGATCCCAGAGCTGGAAGCAGCAGTGCACACAAGGAGCACCTACCCCAGGGTTTGTCTGACAGGCAGAACAAAAGGGCAGGGGAAGAAGGTAAACCTGGCTCCTTCTCTGACAAGCCTGGCTTAACATGCAGGTTAGAAAGCAGGTGTTTCCCACTCTCCCCACAAACATGCACTTACAGCTCATCAGGGCAGTTGATGGGCTGAGCTATTCGATAGCCATCCTTGAGATATGCGCCCATCTCGAAGGGGTCGATGTCCACGTATGGGGTCTGGCCCAGGGTCATCAGCTCCCACAGCGTCACTCCAAAGGCCCACTGCAAAGGAATAGAGGAGGGGTCAACAAACCAGGTTGAACCTTGGCAGCTCCTCCAGGCACTGCACAGAATCAGTCATAAATAAGAGCAGGCACAGTAAGAAAGCCTTATGTAAATTCCTTATATAACCACATGGTAACACATTGTCTTGAACTGGGCTAATTAGGAATCCCAGAACTGGTATTAAGTTGCCCAGAGAAGCTGTGGATTCTCCATCCCTGGAAGAGTTCAAGGACAGGTTGAACAAGGCTTGAAGCAACCTGGGATAGTGAAAAGTGTCCCTCCCATGGGTAATGGAAGTGGATGAGCTTTAAGGTCCCTTCCAGCCCAAACCATTCCATGATTCTATGACATCAAACTAAAGTCAAAATCTTAGTGCACTAAGATATCAGTGCTAAAAATCACATGTTTACTGCATTTTTTAACATGACTTTTCAGAACATTTAAATCTAAAAAGTACTGAGCACTGAACCACTGTTTAATATAAAACTGGTAATTTTTTCTACATTTTACTTCTTCAAAATGCCTCAATAAGTCATCAGAAGAGGTCTGTGAAATTCCAGGGGTCAGAAAGGTGGACTGAATGAGACCACCACTCTTTTGAATCCAAGTCATCTGTATATTTGGGGGGTATGCTCAGAATTAGAACTCATGAGAATAAAATAAGGATTTCATCCCAGTAAACCTGACAGCTGGATCAGCATTCAACACATCCAGCCGACATTCCTTGCCAGGAGGAGCTTAAAAGGATGAAAAAATCCATCAATCAATCCACACACAGGTAGAGTACAAGGAACATGATGTATGAGCGGATATCCAGAGACCCAGGAGACCAGAGATGGAGCTGATACTGCTCACTGGTGACTCACTGCTCAAGTTACACGTGCTGTAAGCATCATGATTTATTAAAAAAGGGCAGAATTCTGCATGGCTCACAAGATTCTTGTTTTAATCAAGAGAAATCCCACCACTCCCCTTGATCAAAGCCTTAAGAAAGGGATGTTTTTGGCTGAGAAGGTCAGGGAATGGCAGTGGCACAGACACAGCTCTGAACAGCCACCAAAGGAAACAAAACCCCTTTTAAAAGTTAAGAAATGAGGGACAAGTAGTGATCATGGACGTGGGATGAAGGGTGAGTCAAGCAAAACGACTCTGAGAATACCGCTATTGTACTTCCATAAGGAACTGCCTAAAAATGGTACGAAGAGACGCAGAGCTCCATGTCCAACAGTGGGAAAGCCACGGAATCACAGTTCAGCAGGAATGGTGGTTTGTTTTCCTACACCCTGGCTGCTTGATAGAGCTGCTGGCTGGGAAGGAACACATTACTGGGAAGGTTTCAAGCCAGCAAAACCATTTTGGAAGAAAGTCATCCAAAAAGCAAGGCTGGAACATCTTGGCAGACACCACCCACACTGTTTGTACCACATTTCATCACCCATTACCACTTACATGCAGCGGGATCACTGGATTTGTTCCTTGCAAGCAGACAAAAACATATGACATCAGACTGCTGTGAAGAGCATCCAGGTAGATGCAAAGCTGATATTTAGGGCGGATGGTATTTTCTAAACACACAGAAAAACTGCCTGTTTTTGAACTCTCAGACGGCCATGTCTTTGCAGTTAAAACTACATATTAGAAGGGGAGTGGAATTTATCCCTATGTAAGGGAAAAAGGAGTTGTGTTAAAATGGGAGGAACAGATGCTGAACTGCACTGTTTATGATACTGAGGTTCCTTCATCCTAATAAATTCCATGTCTCACTGCCACCTTTACATAAGCTTTTATTTCCAAGTCCAGTCTTCAAAAACAGGGCTTTTGTGTTCCAGAGTTATTATAATAATAAAAAATAAATCAATGTTTACTCGAGCCCATTTAGCACTCTAAAAACATGCTCTTACAGGGAACTCTGATTTCCTCTTCTCTCTCCAAGTTTGGTACAATATAAGCCCCGTACGCATTTTCCAATGAATACAGAAGTACTTGTGAAGAAGAGATGGCACCTTCCCCTCCTTCCTCATTTTTCTTGTTGTTTACGTGGTTTGATGTGTGGTCTAATACAGAGATCACGAGGGGAAAAAAGCCAACCAGAACTTCTCAGAAGTTTTCCAAACCAGAGCAGAGTGCTGCACCTGATAGGATGCGCCCAAGAGTGCTGAGGGAGCAGGCTGAGGTCAGCGCAATGCTGCTCCTACCACCTTCTTTGAAAGGTCACCTCAACCAGGGCAGGTTCTTGCAAGTGGAATAAAAGGCACCCTCAGGAAAAGACAGGATCCAGGGAACTACAGGCCAGATAGTCTAACATCAGCTCCTGCTTATGTCTAGAAGCACATTATCCAGGAAGACACTTCTGTGCACATGAAGCATAAAGAAGTCTGGGAAGAGTCAGCACGGATTTATGAGGGCTGTGGATTTATTTTAAGCTGTGCCTGACTAGTTCTGTGCTGAGCAGACAGTTTGTCAGTGGACACAGGGTGAGCCATGGATGTCCACTTTGACTTCCAGAGGGTGGTTGGCACTGAACAGGCTCCCCAGGGCAGTGGTCATGGCCCCAAGGCTACCAGAGCTCAAGGATTGTTCGGACAACATTGAGGGACAGGGTGGGATTGTTGGGGTGTCCTGTGCAGCTGGACTGGATGATCCTTGTGAATTTAACTGTCTTTCCTGCCAACACTCCCAAGTAAACAGGGTGCAATGAGCAATTTTTCTGTGCACAAGGGCCTGACTGCTCTCAGAACCATCTACCACGAGCAGCAGATGTAGGGAGCAGGAGCGCACGCTGCTCTAAACAAGACACTGTTATCCATCCAGTGCCACGACCCACTGTACCAGCTCTGGAGTCCCCCATGTAAGAAGGATGTGGAGCTGCTGGAGCAAGTCCATAGGAGGCCCCGGAGATGCTCCAAGGGTTGGAGCCCCTCTGCTCTGGAGCCAGGCTGGGAGAGCTGGGGGGTTTCGCCTGGAGGAGAGAAGGCTCCAGGGAGACCTGAGAGCCCCTTGCAGACCCTAAGGAAGCTCCAGGAGAGCTGGAGAGGGACTTTGGACATGGGCCTGCGGAAACAGGACACAGGGAACGGCTTCCCACTGCCAGAGGGCAGGGTTAGGTGGGATATTGGGAAGAAATCCTTCCCTGTGAGGGTGAGGAGGCCCTGGCACAGGTTGCCCAGAGAAGTTGTGGCTGCCCCATCCCTGCAAATGTCCAAGATCAGGCTGGATGGAGCAACCTGGGCTAACAGAAGGTGTCCCTGCCCATGGCAGGGGGTGGAACTGGATGGTATTTAATGTCCCCTCCAACCCAAACCATCCTGTGATTCCCTGATTCTCTAATGGCTGAAAAAAGGGGAAAATGTCAATAAACCACATTTACAAAATGTTAAGAGGTGGGGAAAAAACTCACCACATCACTAGCACTGGAAAATTCATTGTTCACCAGGCTTTCCAGAGCCATCCACCGAACTGGCCTGTTCTCATTATCCCCCAGGCAATGGTAATCCATGGGAAACAGGTCTCGTGACAGCGCGTTGTCCGTGATCTTCACTTGAAGTGCATCGTCAATGCTAACTCAGAGAGAACAGGAGCACTCAGCAAACCTGGAGTCACAGCTTTACAGCACATATTTCTGCTCAGCCTTAAGTTTCAGACTCAGGATTTGAACTGGGGAATGCTAATCCACATTTCAAGGCATTCTCCTGCACCAGGACACACTTATTCTGTGATCAGCAAATCCTCCCACAGAACCCATTTGTTCTGTGCCAACAGATAAGTGCCAGAGAAACCAGCAGGTTTGATTAAATAAAAATCAAACATTTACAAGTGAAAAAAAATACACTTAAAGCAAACAAATAACTCCCTTAAACTATTCCTGCTCTCTTGGAGATCCCCTACCAGAGCAATTAAACACCTTTCAGCTGTAGCACCTCTGTGGCAAGAATGAGGCAAAGATTAAAGCAAAGAAAGATCCAGTAATATATTTTAGCAACCAATTATTTTTTGTAGCCTAAAAGTGTGTCTCCAATCAAGCAATTTGGTAGGACATTATTTATTCTCCTCAACAAGAGATATTGATGCTTGTCAGAAGTAGGACACTAAGGGAAACTTACTTTTAATCAAGAAAAGGTGACTCAAAAAACCACAGAGAAACTGCCCCCTCTGGGATGTAATTCAGACTGTCTGAATTTGCAAAAGTGTGTAATACCATTCAGTGTTCTCATAAACAGGTGACCTCAGAATATGGGAAAGATATTGGCTTCAACATGTCATGACAAAACCACAGAAGCAACATTTGGTTGGGGGAGATTGTAACAAATTGGTGTTTGTCGTCTTCTCACAGTTTATTTATTTTAATGAGAAAAATAAATAGAAATACTCCAATTTGTGTGTTTCCCCCTTCACTGTCTCTGATACGTTCTTATTTATCCCATTTCTATGCACTTCCAGGCCAGTTCATTATCCTCAAAATCTACAGCCCAGGGAATTGCCATATCTAATTATTGTTAAGAGTTCAGAGAAATTCCTAGAAGACTTGTCCATAAACAAATTCAATCCAGAGGGCAATTTCCCAGTGATTAGAGAGCTCTGACTTGTGCAGCCCTCCTGTCCACTGGAATTGGACCTGACTGTGCCATGGACACATAAGACCAAGAGTACTTCCTCCCTTAAGCTTGCCAACACCACTCCAATTCTGGCTCTCTTCTCAAAATGAGGACATGGATCTGACCACACTTGGTACCAACTTCTCCCAGCCTTTCACCACACAGGAGCAGACCTGGGGAACGAAGTGGGACAGGTGGAACAAAGCCCTTCCAGGGATCCCAGCCACTGGTATCTCCTTCTCTTTCCAAACAAAGTTCCAGGGGATTCCCTGATGTTTGTGATCTTTGCTCTCTGTGGTACCACTTCGTCCTCAAGGTGTTCACCAGTAAGGAAAAGCAATAGAAATTAGGAAGAGAATCTCCCAGGAACTCCATCCCACTGAGCATCTGCAGGGAGCACAAGAGCAGGTGGAGGTTGAGCAGAGATTGTGTGACGGATTTGGTTTATAGAAAGCCACCACACACCTCTATCTCTACACTTTCAGGGTGTGTTCCAGCCAGAAGATGTTCTCAAACCCTGCTCTGCCATTCCTACCATTCCAAAGCTCATTCGTATTCATCCATCACTTGGCAACTGAAAAAATCTGCCAATGACCAAAGCCATGAAGCCGCTTTTTAAGAGGAAAAATACAAGAAAAACGACCTCATACGAAAATCCATCCATTGATAAATTGCCGGAGATATTCCAAGTTCTTATTAAAGCTGAAGGGAAGTTTGAATTCTTTTCAAGCCTTTAAAAAAAAAGTGTTAGACAAATCCAGCAGAAGTATTCACAGTGAGGACATTCTGCTTCCTTTAAAACCTGGTTCACCCTTGGTTTGGAGGAAAACAGTTCCACTGACAAAACCAGTCCACCTAAAACCTGGGGAATAGCCCAGTGATAAAACTGGAAGCAGAGATCTGGGTGACAGGAAGAGCTCCAGCCCCAGAGGTGACAGTACTTACACACAGTTTCTAGCAGCCAGGTCTTTGTGGATGACCTCTCGTCTGGCCAAGTAGCTCATTCCACAGGCAATCTGGATGGCCATATGGACAAGATCCTGCTGGGAAATGGCCTGCAAGAGCCCACAACAGCCATCACTGTGACGCTGTGAGCCCAGTGCCTGCAGAGTTACTGGGTTTGTTGTATCCCAGTGCCCCCTCCCCTTCAGTGCCTGATGCTTTCTAGTCCCTCTAGACCTGATGGACACTCATGGAAACCCCTTATTCTAAATTTTCGTTCCTTTTCTTGACATTCCAAGGGTATATGTTTCCAAGTTGCACCTGCTTTTCCTTTGATTAGAGATGAACATAGGCAAAAATGGTCAATTTTACCCTTCTTACCACACATTTTTTCCCTTTATTTCCCTGAAAACCAGTTCATTTCCAGGCAGGAGCACAAACGGTCCCAGTCCTTGTTGCTCTCTACTGCTGAAAACCAGTATCCAGTGCTGTTGCTCCAGCTCCCTTTGCAACTTCACAGTCCTACTTAAATTAAAATCTTACATATATTTATAGCTTGGCTTCCCTCTTCCACTTCTACAATGTTACAGGAACCTAAAGATGTGGGGGACACACTGAAGTTGCAAGACCAGGGTTAAAATAAACCAAGTATTATGTTAAAATGATAATAAAAGTGGTTAGGTTGAAATTTGGTACATAACAGGGAGAAATTCTCACCTTGGGATTTCATTTTGTGCCTGATTTAGTCTGAAGAATCCAAACCAAGATGAAGTTGAAAACAAGGTAATTCTAACAAGAGGCATAGTTTTACTGTATATACACATCCAGCACCAAAAGATAATTCAGATTATTAAAACCAAGTAAAATACATTCTCATTTAGGGTATTTTCTTTCAGGAAATATATGCCACAGGTTCCATGGAAACACAGGAAAGCTATGAATGCTAAAGAGCACACACAGTAATTAAAAAGAAAAATCAGCAATTGCTTCCTTTATCTACAGTTCAATAAATCAAGTGATTTGACTAACAAAAACTAACAGTAATTAAAGGGACTGTTAATTAGACGAAACTAAAATCAGGAAATCTGAAATTCCTCCAGACAGGATTTCCCCTAATTTATATCCCCAATCAAACACTATTTTCTCTATTTTTTAGTATAATTTTAAGACACTATTGATATACTCTGCCACAGTCAGGGGTCCCTCAGCCTGATAAACACAGCCAGGAATGTTTTTCTGGTATGGATCAAGGCCAACACTTGCTGGGGAACCTCCTCTGCGGGTCACACCCATACCACAACTTTTTGGTCTGTCACAAAGGTGACAGACCAAATCCAGGCTTAATAGGCACGAATTCCCAGATTCCCGAGTGTACCTGAGGGTTGTTGGCCTCCACCAACTTGCACTGTCGCAGGAAAAGTTTAAGGTTCCCCCAGTTCATGTATGGCAGCAGCACCATTGGCTTCTCTCCCTCTTCTATACAGACATGGGTGATAGGCAGCAGATTCCTGCAAGACCGAGAAATTACTCATTTTATGGACCGGGTAAAAAATATTTCTGATCCCTAAACACAGTAACTGAAATTAATTCAGTGTTGAAGAACAGCATTTAGTCTTGTATTATGAACTCTTGAGCAGAACACGTCCAAATAAGTGAAGCCCTAGACATTAATTTTTTTAGTAAATGCAATATTTGGCTACTTTCCCATTAGGAAGAAGCCTCCAGATATTTTCCACTTGGTCCAAAAGGGCTGAAATAAATTGCTGTGAGTACAGGTTATCTATCATCTGGACTCCAAAGTGATATATCCTCAGCTGGGAAGTGTATCATTCTAAAGGCAACTATAGGTACAAAGTATATAGGTCCACTACAGTAGTTTAACAAAAAAAAAATTCAAAACATCATGTTTGATCCACTGCAAAAAGACAGAACAGAAAAGCATAGCTTTTGAATCAAACTGTATTCCAACTACACAAGCAGTTTTAGAAGCAGGGAATCATTTAAGTTGGAAAAGACCTTTAACCCAGTTCTGCCAAGGCCACCACCAAACCACTTTAAATGTCCCTTCCAACCCTCTTATGGCCCAGGTAAACCCCTGAGGTGTTTCTAAACATCTTCCTGTTGTATCAACATATAAATATCGATATATAAATATATGTAAATAATATATAAAAATCTAATAATAGATACAAATTATTTTTATGTAATAATATATAAAGATCAACATATAAATTCATAGGAACTTGAGCCAACCTGGACATAGTTTCAAATTTCCATTAATGACTTTTTAAAATACCTGTATTTCCTATTTAAAACTTGTTAGTAAAAGTCTCCAAAGAGATATAATGATTTTCAAAAGGGAATTCTGAAGTTTCTTGCTCTTACCTAAAGGTGTCTGACAGTCAGGTGTCACACCCTCTACAGACCCGTGAAGGTCCCAGCTTTATGGGCAGTGTAGAGAAGAAAAGCCTAAAGTGTTTTGCACTTTTTAAAAATAGTTTGACTTACAAAAGGGAGGACAACAGCTCACTCTGAATGATGAGAGAGGGGGTCTGGTTCATTTTGTTTCAGTGTTAAGTATGATTCCCCAAGAACCTGCTCCTGCTCTTAATACAATCCTGTACAAGGATTGCAAGGCTGGGAGAGCTGGGGATGTTCAGCCTGGAGAGGAGAAGGGTCTGCAGAGACCTGAGAGCCCTTTCCAGAGCCTAAAGGGGCTGGGGGACTTGGGACAGGAGATGGAGGGACAGGACAAATGTAAATGGTTTCCCACTGCCAGAGGGCAGGGATAGATGGGATGCTGGGAAGAAATTGTTCCCTGTGAGGGTGGGGAGGCCCTGGCACAGGTTGCCCAGGGAAGCTGTGGCTACCCCACCCCTGGAAGTGTCTAAGGCCAGGTTGGACAGGGCTTGGAGCAACCTGGGCTAGTGGAAGGTGTCCCTGCCATGGCAGGGGGTGGCACTGGATGAACTTTAAGGTCCCTTCCAACTCAAACCATTCTGGGATTCCACAATCCCATAAAAGTCTTGCTGATTTCTAAACAAACAGTTCCCTCTCCCCTCTCAGGGAGCTTTAGCTTTAGCACAGGGATTTCCAGCTCCCAGGGACAGTTCTGTCACACCCCCTGCCTGCCTTACCTGTGGTGAAGTCCTCGGAGTTTGCAGCTCTCAGTCAGCATCATTGTCACCTGCACCTCTGAGGCCTGATCTACAGGGAAAAAAGGAACCACAGACACAACCTTGGAATCAAACCAACACATCCATTACAATTCAGTCCACGTTTTCAAGTCACTTGAGGTCACTGGAGAACAAACAGAACTTGTTTGCCTCTGTTTTTTAAAATGGAATTTAAAAAGGCCCACATGAGTAAGCCAAGTTCTGAGGGTTATTTCTGCTTGAACAAGCAGGGTGAAGCCCAGAAAGGAAACAAGCCACACTCCAGGTGCTGACAGGCTGCATTTCTGCCACTTCCTGACAGCTTCTGGGCAGGCACAGCTGCCTGCAGTGGGCACTGTGGGTCACATCCTGCCCAAGGGGCTGGGGGAAGCAGGGCCCATGCCATGTGTTTCCCAAATGCAGATGTGCTCAGAGGACACTGTTCTGCTGTGTTATTAGTACAGGTGTCTGCAGTTCACAGCCACACTGCTGGAGACCATTTATTTCTGGGTTTACTTATATCCTTGCTCTCTGCTCGGCCCACTTGACTCTGGGTAACCTTAGACCTGTTTGGTGTTTCCTTCTCCACCTTTATAAATAAATAAATGAATAAAATCCCTGCTGCCAGCTAAAATTCAGGCCTCTGTGGTAACTCCAGGGACCCACAGCAATGGGCAGAACACCCCCATCCAGTGGGTGGAAGCACAAGTGGTGCCTGTAACTCCTGCCCCGCCAATATTTGTGTATTTGGGGTTTTCCCCCCTCTCAAGTGGCAAGAACCTACAGGGAAGCTTAAGGTGACATAAATAAGAGCTCTCCCAATCCCACTCTCCTCATTCCTGGGTGCGTTTTCCATCCCTCCCTCATGCTGGGACTAGTCCTGGTGTGCCTTGGCAGGAAGCTGGCAGAGGAGAGCCCAGCTCAGCCCCATCACCTTTCCCTGCTGCTTTAAGAGGGGGGATTTACATATTGCACATGAGCCAAGCCAAGATTTTACTGCCCTGGGAGGAAGAACAGGCAAGAACTCATCTGCTCTTTTCCCTTCTCCATGTCTGAGCCTGCTCCCTGTGCAGCCCCAGTGCCCCTTCCTAACTGAGCCTGAACCTGCAAGGAAAAACATGACTTGGGCTGAATTTTGAATGACATGGGAGCTCTAGAAAAGCCCAGGAGACAGAAGTGCCATTAAATTAGTGACAATTATGGTTGCAGTATATTATGGGATGCATCAACCAGTGCATTTGGACTCCTCACAACAAGAAACAAACATATTGAGGGGCTGGAGTGTGTGCAGGGAAGGGAATGGAGTTGGGAAGGGGCTGGAGCAGCAGGAGTGGCTGAGGGAGCTGGGGGGGCTCAGCCTGGAGAAATGGAGGCTCAGGGGGGACCTTCTGGCTCTGCAACTGCCTGACAGGAGGAGGGAGCCGGGGTGGGGGAGTTGAGCTCTGCTCCCAGGGAACAAGAGACAGGAGGAGAGGGAACGGCCTCCACTGTGCCAGGGAAAGGTCAGGTTGGATACTGGGGAACATTTCTTGATGGAAAAGGCTGTCCAACCCTGGCACAGACACCCAGGGCAGCAGTGGAATACCCATCCCTGAAGGGATTTAAAAGCCACGTGGATGTGGCACTTGGGGACATGGGTGAGTGCTGGCCTTGGCAGTGCTGGGGGAGCAGTTGCACTCGATGGTCTTAGAGGGCTTTTTCAAACTAAACCACTCCATGATTCCCTTGTATTTGATAATAAGCCCATAGAGGGGCATGGTATGTACAGGTTCTTGCAGTGGAGGAGACATTTAAGCCACAGCCAGCTGAAGCCTCTGGTTTGCACTCCAATACAGAGGCATGACAGGTTTGTTGTATCATTAATTTGAGATGCAGGAGAAAGACTGCAAGGGGCTTGGAAACAAGTAAGAAAAAACAAGATAGTGCATTAAATGATACAAGCCTGAATGCTAAATCGGCCAACTGTTCTAAAGGGCAAGCAGCAATAGAAATGGAGATGTAAAAGCAAATTGTGAGAGATCAGAGGAGCAGGTTACCAGCATAGAGCTCCAGGTGTAAATGCATTAATTACAGGAATCAAAGACCTCAACTTCTTCAACCCAGCACATGACAAGGGAGGAAAGCGATTCCTGGGTGTGAGTTTAAGCTGATTAACTCACCCATGCACTCTCTGGCCCTGTGCTTGCTGAACTGGTTTGCTTTTAATTATAAGAGCCATCAAGCAATAATTTGAAGCTTTAAATCAGAGATTATTTAAGAGTGGATTTAACATCTACAGAACTGGTCGAGCTGGTTTGGACAATGCACCTATTTATCTCTTCACGGTAACTCTGTAAGGGATGACACTCTCCTGCCACTGCCTTTCCCTTTCCGGTACTCAGGGAGGTTTCCCGCAGGTCACTGTGACGTTCTGGTGGTTTTTTTCCACCTTTTAGTGGTTGAGCACCCAAAGGAACGATTGACTCCTAGTCATGTATATACAGAAATCGAAATCTTATCTTGTGAAACAGTCCCAGCACCCGTATTGTGTTTGCTTATCAATATTATTTCCTTATTTTCTGCATGGAAAAAAGACTTACCCAACACCAACAAATTCAACAGACTCAGAACAAACAACAGCAGTCCAAGGCTGAGACCACTGCCAATTAAGTACCACCACACAATACAACTGTTGTTGTCTGTACTCAATATAACTCAAAACAGAATGTAAATCACCTCTTTGAGCGATTCTAGTCAAAAGGGGGAAAGATACCACCAAAATACTGTTACTGCTACAGTCCCCATTGCAGTCAGACTTCCTTTTAAGGCCATTTTCATCAGTTACACAAGAAGAAGTTCATTTAACTTTTCATTTAACTCTGTCCCGTAAACTATAACCACAGTCGAGCATCCAACAGGTCTTCATAGATCAGGATGAAGGTGATTTTGGAAGTTTTGTTGTGAGGACCTGGTGAATCTAGCCATTATGTATTGAAAACCCTTCAAATCAATCCAGGAAACCCATAGCATTTCTGACTGATATGAGAAATAGGAGTCCCAGAGCAATCCCAGCTCAGTGAGATGCCTTTACAAGGCAATTCTGAGATGAATCCTCCAGATTTCATCCTCCTGCCTGGGCCTAAATATCACCCTGTATAAAACCAGGCATCAGATCCCTGAGCAATCCATGTAAGCACACACACCCATGTGGGCATTGTCTTCTCAGAACTGTCTGTGCAGCCCCCCCAAGCAAGAGCTGGGGAAGGATCCCATCAGACACACAGAATGCCCGTGGGCTCCGGCGGCTCCCTGTCTGCACTAGACCCATGAAGTCATTTGATATGAGCACAGCCACACATGCAGTTGGAGAGAGGGAAACAGGGGGAAGGCCTCCCACAGAGCAGGGATCTCTGAAATTACGACAGCTACTTGAAGACACAGCTGAGGTCAGAGGCTCCCATGCATTAAATCTGGAAACAGCCCTGAATTTAAGCTGAACGCTCCAGGGTAAGGCATCAAGGGCTTGATGCACAACTTCCTCAGAGCCCTGAAAAGAGCTTAAATCTGACATATAACCATTATTTGTGAGTAAGAATATGTCAGAGCTCAGCAATTCATGCAGCTGCAGTTGGATGATGACGAGGTGCAGACAGGTTTTTACAAGGTGATCACACACCAACAGCTGAGTAAACGAAGAGCAGAGACTTCAGGTGAGACGATTTAACACCCAGTGGCAATCTGGATGTTCAATTAGGACCAAAAAGGTCCAACTTTCAGAAGATGCTTAAAACCAAGACCACTTGAGATAGATATAAATGCATTCCAGACAGAAAGATGTTCTCAAAGCCCTGGTTTCACCCTTTCTGGGCCTGGTTTTACCCTTTGCCAAGGCCCAGAGCAAGAACAAGGCAGGATTCCAAGCAGCTTTGATAAAGCTGCAGGTTTATCTCATGATATCACAGTATTTGCATGCAGCCAGGCACAATGGGACTCTCAGCACTGCTATTTTTGGAGAAGAGGCTAATTCCTCTGTGCTAGGATGTGCTGGGGCCCTGCCTGGCTCACAAGGAGAAAGAACTTACTTGATTTTTACCAACTTCTCGACATCCAGCTGCAAAAGTGCATTTTTAAATCTCTGTTCATCACCACTCATAAATGACATGAATCACAAGGTGAAAAGATCTCGGGGAAGTTTTGTGATGACACTAAGATTGCAGGAATTTGCTCGCTCCGAGACCAGGAACTCATCAGCTGCAGGGCATGAGGAAAAGAGTCACTGAACACCAAAAGGACTTATTAGAGGGGAAAAGCAGCAATTGCCTGGATATTGTGGTGGGTAACTGAATAGCTGGATGCTTTGAAGAGCAACTCTTTCAGTCAGATCTCCCAGAACCTCTAAACAGCAAAGCACAGCATTCAGGAGATCACAGTATCATTCAGGCTGCAAAAGCCCTCTAAGACCATCGAGTCCAACCAAGCATTGCCAAGGCCACCACCTTGTCCCCAAGTGCCACATCCACACAGCTTTAAATGCCTCCAGGGATGGGGACTCCACCTGGGCAGCTGTGCCTTCCTGTGAAGAAATCTTCCCTGATATCCAACCCAAACCTGCCCTGGTGCAATTTGAGGATGTTTCCTCTTGTCCTGTCACCTGTTACATGGGACAATAGACACCATCTCCCTACAACCCCCTTTCAGGCAGCATCACAACTTAAAGACTTCAGTCAGTCACTGAAATCTGTTTCTTCAGACAGAAGACAAAGCAGAATCTTAAAATCCACTGAACTAAGCCAACCCAGAGCCCTTTCACAGCAGATTCCCTCAGCACTCCCAGCAGCAGCAGCTCTGCAAATACTGCAGCCAGGAACTCCAAGGCTTCTGACAAACACATTTCCCAACAGCAAGGTTTAAAAAGATGTTTTACCTGCAGCTTTTCCCATCTCTGGACCACTTGTAACAGCTTGTTCCCTTGGGAACCTCCTTTTGTCTCATACTGAAAGCTTATACTCTCCCCCATCACAGCACTTGTACAGTCCATTTTCCACACAACTGCCTGTTCTCACAAGCCTTATT